AAAAAAAAAAAAAAAAAAAAAGAACAATTTGCCCAAAGGGGCACTTGGGGGCTGGAATCAACAGTTCGCTTTGCTACCTTTAGGAGGACCCTGTGCTTTCATGCTCCCCTATGCTGCTCAGAGCCATACTCCAACCAACCCCTGCCCCCATAGCCCTTACTGTAAACCTCACCCCCCGAAACGAGACCCGACCAGCACCATTTCTCAGGACTGAGCCCCCTTCTCCCACTTGACCTTTTCCTATAGCTGCTAAGAATCAGCTGGGTTTGGTGGGCCTTGGTCTGTGAGGTACGGGAAGAATTTTGAGTCCTCTTTCTCAGAAGGCAGAGATCGCCATGAGAATGAGGAAGTTGGAAGTCAGACTCCTCCCCTAACTTTATCCCACCCTTCCTTGTGCCTGGAACTAGATCATCCTCTCCACAGGAAGGGTACACGTAGAGGGACACACGCACAGAGAGGCTGAGGAGTCTACTCAGGGCCACACAGCAAGCCCGTGAGACCTGGCTGATCTCTGGCCTGGTTTGCCTGGGCCTCATCCAGCTGGAGTGCTCACACCCTCCAGAACTGTCCCCGTCAGCCAAGTAAAAAAGCTGCCTGGCTGGTTTGGGCGGTTCCCAGGCTGGTGGCTGGCCTAAGGCAAGAGGGAAGTCTCTGGAAGGAGGACAGCTTCTCCCCCCGGGCCTTCTGGGGCAGACTTCTCAGGGAGATTATTCTGTCGCTTTCTTTGAGTTCTGCTCTGCCTGGAGGCTAGCGCTGCCAGGTGCAGAGAGCAGCCAACTCTGGAGTCGGCAGCCCCAGATCCCACCCTGGCTCCTCGGACGAGCCAGGTGACCTGTCAACAGGTTACCAAACTCCCTGGGCCTCGATCTCCTCAACTGCAGAACAGGGACGGCAGTACCCACAGAACCCACCTCCGTAGGGTTGTTGTCAGAATTGCCTGACCCGTTTCCCGTAAGGGCCCCGGCAGACAACAGTTCAGCCATCCCAGACTGACCCCAAAGCCAGGTCTTCCCGCCCCTCCGAGGGTCAGCACTCCCACTGTGACAGCCTCACCTGACCTCCGGCTTCAGCCCAGCCCTGTCTGCCCTTCGGTCCCCTGCCCACCTCTTTCTTACTCCATCCCATCACCTCTGGGCACCTCCACTCCCCGAATGGAAACTCACCTGTCGCCCGTCCCTCAGTTGCCCCTTCAATAGACTGTCCAGGGGGAATGAGACAATGTTGTTCAGATTCTGAACCTGGAAAAAGCAGAGACCCCCATCCCCCATCTTGGGTGACCATCTGTCGAGCTCCAAGGGGCTACAGGGCACAAGGAAGGGTCAGAGGGCAAAGGAGGGCCCTGGGGTGAGGGTGGGGGGCAGAAGGGGTGGCAGAGCCGGCCCCTGAAAGCGCTGTTTCCCCTTCTCCTGACTAACCCCGGCCTCATCGCCTCACAGCTCCGGGAATATCCACGGTCAGCCCATCTCCATTCCTTTGCCACGAGCACCCTCTCCTCGCCCCTCTGACTCTGAAATGGCCATCTGCTGTTTGTGTCTGGCCAGCTCCTCTCCCCCTGTCATGTGGGGAACCCTTTCCCCTGTGGTCACGTGAGGTAAACACAGGAGTCAGAGCTGACCAGAGCACCCCATCCTTGGGCAATAGGGATTGGCTCAGGTGCGCAATTCGAGCTGGCCAATCAGGATCCTTCCTGGAACTTTCTGCCAGAGTCCTGGGAGAAACACTGGGTCTTTCTTCTGGTGAGACTGTGAATCTGGGTCTGCTGGGCCATCCTGCCCACTGAGCAGACACAGAGAGAAACTATCTAAGAGAAAGAGAAGAAGCCTAAAGCCAGTTGCATACCTGGATTTCCCATTACGGGGGCCAATGAATTCTCTTTATAACAAATCCTAGTTTGAAAAAAATTTTTTAATGTTTATTTTTTTATTTTTTATTTTTGAGAGAGAGAGGGAAAGACAAAGTATGAGCAGGGGAGGGGCAGAAAGAGAGGGAGACACAGACTCTGAAGCAGGCTCCAGGCTCTGAACTGTCAGCACAGAGCCCGACACGGGACTCGAACTCACGAACTGCGAGATCATGACCTGAGCCGAAGTCAGACACTTAGCCGACTGAGCCACCCAGGCGCCCCTAAAAAATCCTGGTTTGAATTGAGTTTCTATCATTTGGCAACCCAAATTGCCTGTCTGATATTTTAGTTCACCTTTCAAAGTATAGCTTGGGTCTCCCCTCCTCCAGGAAGCCTTCCTGATTGCTCCTCCCCATGGTCTACGCTGACCTTCCCCTTTCTGAACCATGGCAGCCTCTGACCCAACTCGCTGGGTCCTCGAGTTTGTGCCAAGCTACTGGTAATGCTTGGTGTCGTCCCACATCTCAGCTCCTGTCTCTCCCACTAGACTATGGCTCTCTAAGGCGTTAGCCTCTTCCCTGTGTCACCAGCCCCTCGTACGATGCCCAGCACAGAGTAGACCCTCAGCAAAGCTTAGTTTGACTGAAAACAGCAGGAGGAGAGGTCAAGACAAAAGAGGTCACTAATTCAGTTGAACTCAAACACTGAAGCCCTACATACGGGACCGTGTGTGAGGCAGTGCTACGCAGAGAGGTACAATCATGACAGGTGGCAATATTATCTATCACTAACTGCGCGCTTACTCTGGGGTAGGCACTTAACTTGCGTAACCTCATTATAACTCTGTGAGGTGGGTACCATTATGAGCACAATTTTACAGACGGGGCCCAGGCAGAGTGAGTGACTTGGCCAGGGACACCCACCCAGAGAGCCGCAGAGCAGGGTCCGAGTCTAAGCCTGAGGTCTGGGGGCTCAACCACCGAGCAAACTGCGTCTCAGAGATGATGCAGCCAGGGCCTGGGCAAGGGAGGGACTGGAGCCATGACAGCCAGTCCCAAAGCCATGGAGCCTGGGGAGCGACGGGCTTTCCTGAGGTGCTACAGCCAGGCTTGAGTTCAGACACTGGAGCCGGACAACCTGGGTTCAACTCCGGCAGCGTGAACTCGGGCCAGGTGCTTAACCTCGTGCCCTAGTTTCCTAGCCCGTAAAGCGGGGAAGACAGTAAAACCAAACCCACGGAGCTGTGCTCCAGGATTGGATGAGTTAACCCACGTGAGGCACCGAGAACCGGGCCTTTCAGGGGAACAGCTTCTATCTTGGACCACGTGCAGGAGCCGAGAGGCTTGTTGAGGGGAGGTCGTTCCCAGGCTTTGTGGACACAGCAGATGCAGTTGGGAAAGCAGAGGGCAAAGAGGGTTACGGGGAGGCAGTGGTACAAAGGCAGGAACCCCAGGCTCTGCCCTCCCTTCTCCCGAACCTCCTCCAGGAAGCCCTCTCTTCGTGGGGCTCTTCCCCTCTGTGAGGCCCATCTGCTGCTGGGTACGCGCACAGAAGAGAAAGAGGAGGGCAGGGTCAGAGGGAAGGCGGGAAAGAGAAGACACGGGGGGAAAGTCAGAGGAGAAGAGGAACGCAAATGGTAGGTCAGAACCGGAAAGGGAACTGGGTCTCTGGTCAAGGTCAGGGGAGACTGGAGGTCAAGGGCAACCCCAGAGAAGGGTGGAACCTTTCTCAGTCAGGTTCTTCAGCCCACTTGATGTACCCTGAGCCTAGGCTAAGGGCTGGGTGAGAAAGGAACAGGGCCTCACCAGGTTCTTGAAAAGTGCAGCCACCTCGCGGGTGAACACGGCCAAGTTCAGGAAGCCGGTGGACAGCTCATGACTGTTTTGGGACAAGTGGCTGTTGCCCAAGGACTCTACAGCCTCTCGGTACTGCTCCTCATTCTCCACGTGGCCTGTGGAGGTAGAGAGAAAGGCAGAGTTCGTTCCATGCTAGGGCTGGGGCTGGGGAAGGGGCTCCTTAGCCAGGCTGGGCGTCAAGCAGGCTCACTCACCAAGGCCGGAGCTGTGGATCGCCCGCACAGCTTTCTTTATTCTCTGCAGGATGGCCTGGTCTCCTTCTAGGATCTGGAAGCAAATGTGGATAGAGTTCAGGGATGCCCAGCTGGGAGGAGTGCCGGACTCCATGATCCTACTCTCGAAACACACGTATAACGTTTCTTCCCCGGGGTCCCCCTGCACACCCCACCAAACATAAATAGACCACCCTCTTCCACCCAGACCACATGGGAAACATAGATCGGTCACACCACTCCAGAAGACCACAGACTTTTCTCCCCAACTCCAGTGCAGGCCAGCTAAACACAGCGATTGCAAGGCATGTGGCACAGTGGGGACAGCCAGACCTAGATTGGAACCCTGACTCTGGCACTACCTACTGCGTCAACCTAAACAAACCTGTTAACTTCTCTGAGCCTTGGGTACCTTGTCTGCAAAATGGAGATGATACTATAGACTCCTGGAAGTGCTGAGCAAATGGATTGGTTTTACAGATATATACAAAACGCTTGGGGCGCCTGGGTGGCTCAGCTGGCTTAGCATCCGACTCTTGATTTCGGCTCAGGTCAGGATCTCGTGGTTCGTGGGATGGAGTCCCACATCGGGCTCTGTGTTGTACACGCAAAACGCTTAGCAAAAGACCAGAGGAGAGAATGTGGACATCTCTGTATTCTCGAAGACAAATCCCAGGCTCAGGAAGCAGAAGGGGCCGCACTCGACCCCAACTGGAAAGAACTGGTGGGACAACCATCTCTGTGGGTTGCAGAACAGACAGCAGACTGTGGGGAAGGCCAGGAGATGTGATGGTGAGAAGCAGGACTCGCGTGCCTTGGGCAGGGGTGGGGCTCGGCTCAGCTCAGATCAAAACCTCCCAGGCACACTTCTCTTTCAGTTGGGGTACAGAAGCCCCAACCCCATGGAGCCCTTATGAAATGCTTCGTTAAGCTGGAAATTATAGAATGCTAGGGCTGAGAAGGGCTGATAGAACCACAGATGAGGAAACTGAGGCCAAGAGAGGGGAGCGCCTTGCCCGGAGTCAAACAGTGGGTCAGGAGCAGAGCTGGGTTTCCAGGGGCTGCTCCAGTACCGTGGTTCACCCACACACGCAACCACACGCCGCAGCCCCACCCTGACCCCAGCCCCACCTCTTTTGTCCCGTGACCAAAAAAGGGATCAGAGTTTATTTTCAAAGAGTTACCTTCAACGTGACCAGGGTTAGCAAACACATTTGGCATAGTATCTCCAAAGATTCTAAGTGATACTCACAGGAGGACATGCACAGGGCCGACCTCAGGGGCAATGTGGGGTGTTCCCCGAAGCCTCTGGCGTGTAGGGAGCCTCTAGAGGGAGGGGGGGTCTGGATTTGAAGCTCAGCTCCCCTGCCCAGGTGCTGTGTGACCTCGAGCAAGTTGCCTATTTGCTCTGAGCTTCCTGATTAGCTATCTGGGAAATGGAGGAAACCCTGAGTATGAACATCATGTGTGGGACCAATGGAGGCTCATCCCAGGGATGAAGAAAAGAGTCAAGGATTTAGGGAGATGGGGGGAGAGGAGGCCATATTTGTTTGTTTTTTTTTTTAATTTTTTTCAACGTTTATTATTTATTTTTGGGACAGAGAGAGACAGAGCATGAACGGGGGAGGGGCAGAGAGAGAGGGAGACACAGAATCGGAAACAGGCTCCAGGCTCCGAGCCATCAGCCCAGAGCCTGACGCGGGGCTCGAACTCACGGACCGCGAGATCGTGACCTGGCTGAAGTCGGACGCTTAACCGACTGCGCCACCCAGGCGCCCCAGAGGAGGCCTTATTTGAATCAGCTAAAGAACTAAGACATTCTACTGGAGAAACAAAGACGAGGGGGAGGACAGGGACATCACTACAGTTCCCAAAGACCTAGGTGAGGGAATATGCGTTCGCCAAAGCCCTCGATCCCCACCTCGAGACTTGAAAGGGAAAGCTAAGAGATGATTAATTTAAGGAGCTGTGACTTTACTCCAAAAGACAGCATAGGTTAAAGATATGAACAAATTCCAAAGAGATTTAGAAAACTCCCTAGAAGGCAGATCCATGTGCTTAGCATACAGAAAATACCCAATAATTATTTACCTAAATGAATGACGTTTTGCAAAGTCCTGGGACATGCACCTGAGAAGTCTGTGTCCGTGATACTTTTCGGAGAGTCTCCCCATCCCACAACACAGATTCTCTGAAAACTGCCCTCCTCCCCTCTAGCGGTGGGCCCTTGTCACCTTGTTTGTTTTAGCCACAGTTGACTGGACTAGGGTGGACACTTGACCCAAGCTGGCCCAATCAGCTTCTCTCTCCAAGGAATTCGGAATCAGGCTCTGGGAAGTTAGCTAACTGATCTGAAGTACTGAAGCTGGACCATCTTTCCCACCACGTGCAAAGAGAAAAGAACAAAGCAGACGTACAAAAGAAGCAAACGAGACCCATGCGGCCACAGAAAAGCACTAGAAAAATGCTGCTCTGGTTTCTGGCACCTGTCCCGATCCCGCACCCTGAGAGGCTCCTCTACACTTCCTGTCCTTGGGTCTTCACAAAATATCCCCAAATCCATCCAACAAATTCCCCTAAGTGCTTAAGCTGGTTTAAGAGGATCTCTCTTCCCTACAGAGACTGCTGGTCGGCTCCCAGCGTCCATTCTCTCGTCTTCCTTAGCAAAAAGAACCCTGACTTTTCCGACGGCCACTCGGCCACTCGCAATAGAGACATTTCCCAGCCTACCTTGCAGGTGAATATGGTCATATGACGAAGTGCTGACCTATGTAATACAATGGAGATTTCACTTGTTAGCTTTCAGAAAGTATTCTTAAAAGGAAGGGGGAGCCCCTGGGTGGCTCAGTTGGTTGAGTGTCTGACTCTTGATTTCGGCTCAGGTCATGATCCCAGGGTTGTGGGATCCAGTCCCACATCGGACTCTGTGGTGACAGCACAGCGCCTACTTATGATTCTCTCTCTCCCCCTCTCTCTGCACCTCGCCCCCTCAAAACGAATAGATTAAAAAAAGGAGGGGAAGGACTACACACCTATTAAAAATGGCCCAAACCCAAAACAATGACAACACCAAATGCTGATGAGGATGTGGAGAAACAGAACTCTCTTTCACTGCTGGTGGGAAGGCAAAATGTTACAGCCACTTTGGTAGACAGCTTGGCAGTTTGTTACCAAACTAAACATATTCTTACCATACAACCCAGCAACTGCACTCCTTGGTATTTACCCAAATGAACTGAAAGTCTATTGCCACATAAAAACTTGCACATGGATGTTTACAGCAGCTTTATCCATAACTGCTAAAACTTGCAGACAATGGCATATTGTTTAGCACTAAAAAGGAGCTCCCAAGTCACAAAGGACACAAAAGAACCTTAAATATATAGTTCTGGCTGGCTCAGTTGGTGGAGCACGTGACTATGGATCTCAGGGTTGTGAGTTCGAGTCCCATGATGGGTGTAGAGATGACTTAAAACTAAATTTTTTTTTTAAAGATGTATATATATATTACTGAGTGAAAAAAGCCAATCTGAAAAAATTGCATAGTGATACCAACTATGGGACGTTCTGGAATAGGCCAAAGTGTGGAAACGATCAAAAGATCAGTCGTTGCCAGGGGAAGAAGGGATAAACAGGTGGAGCACAAGGGACTTTTAGAGCAGTGAAACGATTCTGCATGGGCCTGCTCGTGGATACGGTCACTATGCATTTGTCAAAACTCATAAAATGTACAATACCGAGAGTGAACCTTAACATAACCTATGGATTTGGGGTGATAACGACGTGTCAGTGTAGGCTCACTGATTATAACAAATATGCCACTCCGGTGTGGGATAGTGATAGTGTGGGAGGTTACTGGTGGAGTAGAAGGTATATAGGAACTCTGTACTTTCCACTCAATTTTGCTGGGAAGCTAACAGTGCTCTAAAAAATAAAGTGTTTTTTTAAACAAAGAGGGGGAAAAAAAGAAAAGGATAAAAGGAAGAGAGGGAGGGGTACCCTCTGTCATAACTTTCTCTTGGCTGGAATGCATTTGTGATGTCTAGAGCTCAGGCAGCCATCTTGGACCACGACGTAGAGGCCACCTGTTATGGACGGTGGAGCAAGAAAGTAGTAGCCTTGTCCTGGTGATTGAGGAACCACCCTATCAGGCCTGGGCCACTTATTTGTAAACATTTATAAAAGAAATAAATGTCTATCTTATTTTAGCCACGTTATGCGGGGTATGTTGTCATTTGTGACTGAAGCTAACTCCCACTTGCCTACGGGTAGGCAAGCCACCCTAATGACCAATAAACTATCACTTGATGCCCTTGTCAGACATATCTCAGGAAATGGCTTCCTGGCAAGATACCATTTCTGCCCCTACTGCCCTTAGCAACGAAGGTTCACATAGCTATTCATTCATTCATTCATTCATTCACTCACTCACTCACTAGTTACTGTGTGCCTGCATTCACACTCTGTGTAAAAGACACAGACTTTGGGGCACCTGGGTGGGTCAGTTGGTTAAGCGTCCGACTTCAGCTCAGGTCATGATCTCACGGTCCGTGAGTTCAAGCCCTGTGTCGGGCTCCGTGCTGACAGCTCAGAGCCTGGAGCCTGCTTCGGATTCTGTGACTCCTTCTCTCTCTGCCCCTCCACCTCTCACGCTCTGTCTCTCTCTCAAAAATAAGTCAACATTAAAAAAAAAAAAAAAAAAAAGACAGACTCAGCTCTCAGGGACATCACCATCTAAGGGGCAAAGAGCCAAGTAAACAGACACCTGCAATGTGACTATGGCTATAATGTAAGGTGGACAAGGCACTCGGGAGCCCAGAAGGACAGCCATGTCTGCTTAGGAAGAACAGAGAAAGTCTTATTCGGTGATGCTTGACTATGGGCCCGGGACAGGCAGAAAAGAGACTAAGACTGCACAGTGAGGTGCTGTGGGGAGTGCGTGATATAAATGGTAGGATTGCTGGAGGAGGAAGGCTTGCCCTGGGAAGAATCGGAAAGGAGAGGAACATTGTTCATTCATTCATTCGTTCATTCCAACAAGCACCTACTGGTGCC